ATAAAGTTAGTAAAATAAAGACCCCCAATTTTTTCTTTGTTCAACATTATGAGTTGTTATTACCATTTTTAACACGTCATTCTTGTAAATGATAATATCGCCCTTCTCATCAATAATACTGCCTTCCACTTCGCGTGCGTATCAGCAGCCTACGAGGGGCAGTTCAAGGCGATGAAGTCTTTAATAGTAGTTTCACGCCCTCGAGTGTCAATGTACTCGAGGTTACTTAGAAAAAAAAAGTAATGCTGGTTAAAGACCTCTTAATGATACTACAAACAAGGAATGTATGTGTACCTATCGCCAAGGAGGTAGGCAGATACAGGTATAAATATATACAGATTGCTATGAGTAAATGTCCGCATAAGTAATTATATGTATATCTATCTTCTTATATGTGTATATAAAGAAAATTGATATAAAAGTACATATCTATGCGTCTATCTATCTATATACTACGCATATATATATATATATATATATATATATATATATATATATATATATATATGCATATATATATATATATATATATATATATATATATATATATATATATATGCATATATATATATATATATATATATATATATATATATATATATATATGCATATATATATATATATATATATATATATATATGCATATATATATATATATATATATATATATATATATATATATATATATATGAGTGTGTGTGTGTGAGAGAGAGTGTGTGTAAGTGTGTTTATGTGTAAAAATATGAAAAGAATAACAAAGGTGAACATCTTTCTTCGCAAACAGTCTTGGTCTTTCGTTGTTCCATTCCATCTAAAATTGTGTGTATATATGTATATACGTTTGTGTGTTTACTTGTTTGTTTGTGTGTGTGTGTGTGTGTGTGCGTGTGTGCGTGTGTGTGTGCGTGTGTGTGTGAGTGAGAGAGAGAAACGCACTGTGTTCTTAAGCAAATACTTCGGTAAAATACGGTTAGACATTCTGTATTGTACGTATTCGCATACTCGATCAATATTTGTTATTTATTCAAGGATCCGTAACTTTGCTGATCTTTATTCAGTTCACCTTTCCTTCCTCCTTCACGGTTTTGCTTTAGTTTTGAATAAGTCTTCATTTTCTATTACAAATTCTCTAGTTTGTCTTTTTTTCAGAAAATCTTTTCATCTGTGCTTCTTGCTGATATATTTCCGTTAAATTAGATTTGATTATGATTCTTCACAATTTCTTATTTGATGTTGATTTTATTTTGTTTCAAAATTGCGTATATAGAAAAGGAATATAAAGATAAAAAATATCATTTAGGTTCAACTTATCTGAAATTTGTCTTTCCACAATCAACGCCTAATTGCGATCATTAGTGGGCTGCTAATTGTTTAATGGTATTTTGATGTTCATCACTGGACCCCCCCCCACCCCCTCCCCCCAAAAAAGTTAATTATGCCTAAATACAGAATTTAGTACATCAGTATATCAAAATCTAATTTTGATTAATAATTTAATATTAATTTAATTTAATCGAATTCACAGTTATTTCTAAATAAACAAAAAGAAAAGAAACAAAAACAAGCCATTCTCGTTTGGCGTTAAGCGGCTAAAAAACTATTTTTCTTTTTTTTATTTCAGTCCAAATTTCCCTTTCTGAGCCAAACCGGATTCGTTTCAGTGTCTGTCAAAAAATTACACTCATAAAAAAAAAGAAAACAAAAATAAATATATACCTTTTTATTTCACAAATGATTTGAACTGTAGAGCCTACATGATGATATGTCTTTCAATCAGTATATATTTATAAAAATGATGATGGTGATGGTGATGATGATGATGACGTTGACGATGGTGACAACAGCAATAGTAATGGTGATAATCTGAAAATTGATGATCACAGATATTTCACAATATTGAAAAAAAAAACAAAAAAACATCACAGCAGCATCAACAAAAACAGTCACAGTGATAACGGCTATGTATATGCCCATGTATATCTACTTTGATATACAATGTATTTATGTATGTATGCAAACAATGCTAGGTATGAAATCATTCACCGGATACCGCGATCAACATTGAAAATACCGGACATACCAGCCTGACAGAAACGCAAATTGTTTGATATAAATCCACATTATGTTTTTTGTTTTTTGTTTATTTCAATGCCTTATTGGTTTATGATTATAACCAAATATAGAAACAAAGAAGAAAAATACTCGATTCTTTTATAGACAAAGAGGTTTGCATCTGGTGAGAAGTTACCGTATATCCCTGGTATCAAATTATTCTTAATATAAAAAAGGAATCCCACTCAACAAGTGCCAATTAAGGTGTGTTTTCGTCAGGTGTGATTGCGTGAGTGAGTTTTTCTTTATTTTTTAGAAGTTCTATGGACTTGTCTTATATATGTTAGCATCCTTTATTTATAATAAAATACAGGAAAACAAGTAACTAAATTACAAAAATATGGAGATGAGTCTGTTGGACAGAGATATATTAATTACACAAACTTACCGAAATGTTTATTATTAATGAAACGACGGAGCTACACGTATGGCAGTAACTTGCGATAACACATCTTTTTTTCTTTGCAAAACTACATTAAAAAATATAGCATATTTACAAGTAACTCAAGAGCACTTGTTTATATCTCAATCTTATCCACTGATAAGCGAAACACTCCAAGAAATCATGAATTGAACATCGGCCGACTCCTTTTCTAAAGTTATAAATAGAGACGCAAACTTTCCCACGGGATAAGTGACGCGCACTCCCTCGCCGACCCGAACTGCACACACTCGTGCGCAAGACTGGAAGGACAGCGATACCTCTCTGGCCTCAAATCGTCGCTGCCAGAGACCGGGAAAAAGCTCATACGGCTCATCAGCAAAATTGACAACTTAAAGATTACTTATTTTTTCACTTTCCCGCACGTTTATAGCACTTTTGATATAAGAAAAGTGAGAGAAAGGAAGAGATGTGCTAATGTCTTATGAAAAGGCTGTGGAGTGTAACCGGAAAATGTGATTTCACACTCGCTGAATAACCTCTTTCAGTCCAGCTTTCCTTCGCCGATTCGGGGGAAAATTGGATTTTCAACTCCTGCGCAACAAATTAATTTCCTCATTGACACACGGAATCATGAGTAACATTCTGATCTGCGGCGACGAAAGGCGGAGTTGAGAGCGAGAGAGAAATAGAAGCTCGATGAACTACTTCGCCTTTTAGTTGGCAACAGCCGCGGATGCCTTCGCAGTGACCTTCGATGCAGCTGCTGAAGAAGGCGACCGGGAAATGAAACCTTTAAGAAAAGAGAGAGAGAGAGAGAGAGAGGGAGAGAGAGAAAGCGAGAGAGAGAAAGAGAGAGAGAGGGAGAGAGAGAAAGCGAAAGTGAGGGAGAGAGAGAAAGCGAGAGTGAGGGAGAGAAAGAAAGCGAGAGAGAGAGAGAGAGAGAGAGAGAGGGAGGGAGAGAGAGAGAGAGAGAGAGAGAGAGAGAGAGAGAGAGAGAGAGAGAGAGAGAGAGAGAGAGAGAGAAAGAAAGAGAGAGAGAAAGAAAGAGAGAGAGAAAGAAAGAGAGAGAGAAAGAAAGAGAGAGACAAATAGACAGAGACAGACAAATAAACTGAGGGAAAGAGAGAGTCTGCAACACAGAGATGGTACGGGGAAGACAGAAACAGAAATGAAAAAACACAAAAATTAGAGATGGAAAAGAGACTTAAAGAGAGAGAACGGGAGACACGAAGGGTGAGAGAAAATTTAGAAACGGAGAGAAAAATAAGAAAGAAAGAAACGTAACGAAAGGAGTAAGAATAGAACGGAGAGGGAAGAGAGCAAAACGTAACAAAGAAGAGAGAACAAAGAGATCTGTTGACGAATGGAGAGTCAGAACAAGACAGAACAAGGAGAGGCAAAGAGAGGCGGGAGAGAGCGAGATAAAGGCTTTATATACGAACTACATAAAGTTGGCGAGTCAGCATATACGTTACACGCGTGTGTGTGGAGTTTAATGAATGCTCTCATTGTTACTGATGACGTCAAAGGGGCTGCTACAGTGGGAGGCCTTGTTGTAGTCCCTGGTTGTACTAGCAGTCGTGGTAATGATGCTAATGATAGTAATACTGACGTTAGTAACAATGGTAATGGGGAGAGTGGTAGGCAACTGCAAGAGTAATAGTGGCAGTAATGATAGTAATTATCCGATTAATATTTATCGCAGTAGTTACAGTCGTAAGAAGCTGGGGCAGTAGTACCAGCAACAGAAACAAGAACAAAACTGTATATTTCAACACTGTGGTAATAACTTGAGGTAAAAAACAATCTTCATAAAAAAAGAAATATTTGGAGACAAAGTGAATCACATGGAATGAATCACAACAGAAGCCTAATGAGTGACATAATTCGTTCATGATAAACAGTAGGGAACAGCATATAAAAGGACATTGCAGAACTTTTTTTCAACACGGTCTTCGTCAATGCACATGATCAACATAGACTGCAAGTTTTGTTCCTATTCATATGTTGTAACCATAACGATATCAGTTACGGAAGGAAAGATAACTTCAGTTCGGATAGGTGGTTCGGATAACTGACACTATTCCAGATGTAAGCCATTTGCGTGTATGATAAATAAACCTCATAATGAAACGCATAATAGTAATGGTAATGATAATGATGCAAATGGTGATAATGATGATGATGATAATGATAATAATAATGATAATGATAATGATGATGATGATGATGATGATGATGATGATGATGATGATGATAATGATAATGATGATGATGATGATGATGATGATGATGATGATAATGATAATGATAATGATAATGATGATGATGATGATGATGATGATGATGATGATGATGATGAAGATGATGATGATAATAATACACCCAATACCAGATGAAGAGTTACCTCCTACGACTTCCACACCGAATGCGTGGGACGTGCGCTGCGGGCAACGTGAGGAAAACATGATGTGAATTTTGTAATGTCTTGTTATTAGGATATTGAGAAAAAAAAAGTATTGTATTTTATCCGTGTCTAGTCCTGTGTTATTCATTCCGAATCCTCTCAAATCCTTATTTAATCATATTTCCGTGCCGTTGCTTAACAATGTCTTTTTCCAAGATTCTTACAGATATGCATTTCAAAGAATCATTTTTTTTCTTTTTTTAAAGTCTGTAATATAATAATTAATAAAAAAACTGATTCGCCCTTAATAGGTTGGGATCAATGCCTGGAATACGAAATGCACTTTTATATGCAAGATACGAGTGTAAAAATATCAATTGAAACTAGGTGAAAAGAGAGGGAGACGAAGCAGAACTGATGCAAAAATCTCATGAACGCGGTTTGACCTCAGGAACCGATATCTTCTTGGAGCACAATCCAATCGTGGGGGGGGAGGGGCTGTAAGGACGAACATATTTATTGATATTACAAGAAAACTAACAAAGAAAAAGAAAGAAAGAAAAAAAGACGAAAATGATAACAAAGAGTGACGCTAATTCTGAAAAAGGGGTAGACTTGAAATCCGATGTTCGTACAACGGAGCAGCTGATGGTTCTTATGACTGCCTTCTGCTGCCCGGACGTGAGGGGACTTCGGGTCGACTCACGGGGAGGTGGCAGAAGGCTGTCACTCGTCTACCGTCCATTTGTCTAACAAATATATTCAACGGAAAACAGCGTTGATTACGAAAAAAACACCATGATAAGTAAAAAAGAAAGAGAGAAGCACAAAAAAGACGAAGAGAGTATGGCAGATAAGCTGATTATTAAGTAAACCATAACTAGATTTCTCGAGGACAGGTCGTTTTTGCGGACTACAGCACAAAACCAGTCATTCAGGTAAAAGGGAAAAACTATTATGAAGGGATAATATCAACTACATCTTATTATCTAACGATTAATATTTCTTTCTGACGAACCAGATAAGCCAAGTGCACATACTTTTTATGCACTGCAATGTTCAATATACAAAAGATTATAGATGTGTGTGTGTGTGTGTGTGAGAGCGAGTCGGTGTGTCACTAAATAAGACAGAACAACCTTCCCATCACGAGAGGCATAATTGACGCATTTCGTCCCGATCCTCACGAGCGCCACGAGCCATTCAGCGCCGCTCAGCCCCATCCGTAGCGCTGGATAATAACCACCTGCGACGCAGCATTATCTCCCGACGCAGCGTATTCCATCAGGCCGCCTCGCGGAGCAATTCCAGAGCCAGTTATCTTCCGGAGCACAATAGGCGATATCTCCCCCGCGAGAGGAGTCCTTGTAGGAGCGAGTTAGTCCCGCGGAGACGAGGCTGACGAGGGCGACGGCGTGTCACGAGGGCGCGAGTGGCGGCATCGGCGGCAGCGGCGAGCAGGGGCTAATGGAGATGGCGGAGGAGCGAATGGGGGGGGGGGGGGGCAGGGAAGGAGGGAGGGGTAAGGAAAGGGCGCTTCATAGGTTTGATATCATTAATATTATTATTAATGATTATCACTGTCATTATAACTATTGTTAGTACTGTTGTTGCAGGTTTGTTGAAATTTTATTGTTATTACTATCATAATTATTGTTATCACCATTGTGATGACAAAGATAACACTAATATTACTACTAATGATAATGATAAAAGTAATAATGGTAAGCGTGATATGCTAAAAATAATAATAATTCGTATTATTATTATTACTATTATTATTATTAACAATAATAAAAAATATATATTATTATTATCACCATTATCAAAATCACCATCACAATCATCATCATCATCATCATCACCATGAATATCATCATCTATATCTATCTATCTATCTACCTACCTATCTCTCTCTCTCTCTCTTATGTATGTATATATATATATATATATATATATATATATATATATATATATATATATATATATATATATATATATATATATATATATATATATATATATATATATATATATATATATATATATATATATATAATTCATCACCTCCATTATCATCAACATCACCAGCACCAACAAGCGTATCACTTCGTAAATGTTTCCTCAGCTATTTTCTTGTTCAGTAATTTCAGAAACTCCACTCTCCTCGCCACTCCCAGCACGCCCCATCATCACCGCCAGCTACTACGCCATTTGATATTACGTTCAGGCGCTCCTTTTCATTTCGAAATGCCGGCAGCTGAGTCCTCCTTCGGGTATTGGTTAACCGAAACACATGATTAATCATTCTGCATTATCATTATTAATATTGTTGTTATTATTGTTATTAAACTTATTATTGATAATATTATTATTGTTATTGTTGTTGTTGTTATTATCATCATTATTATTTTAATTATTATCGGTATCATTATTGTTTTTTTTTTGTCATTGTTATTATTGTTTTATCAATACCATTATCATTATTATCAATCTATTTTTTATCGTTATTATCATAATCATTGTTATTATGAATATAATATTTTGTCATTATTATCATTGTTTTTAATATTATCATTATTATTGTTTTTTATTATTATTACAATTATAATCATCGTCACTATTGTTATTATCATTATTATCATTATCATAAATATCATCTCTCTTGACCCTCGTCATTACTGTTGTTGTTATCATTACTATTATCATTATTATTGTCAACATTACCATTACCATTTATCCTCCTGTTAATCCTTACCATTACTAAAAATATTAACATTACTACTCCAACCATTATTACTCTCACCATTATCTTCATTATCATCATCATCAATAAACAGCACCAAACAACGACATCAATAACAATGATGACGAAAACA